GTAACTTTACCAAATATGTACTGTAATGTTCTTTTTAATTTTCTACTTGCCTCTATTAGTTAGAACAAAGATACTTTAGTATATATATCTATATTATATAAATTTCCAGTACATAAATGTATTTTGAAATTTCATTACTTCTAGAATGCAGTCTAGTTTCAGTTATCTTTGTAAATATAAGGAGTCACCTGTTTAGATACAAAATGGCAGTATCTGATTGAGTAGTGAAGTAGGTATACTAGATGTTAAGTGAAAATGCAACATTGAAAATAACCTATGTTTAGGACAAAATATAGTGATGACATTGGACCACTTTGAAAAATTATAGGTCTGTATTTGTAGTTTAAGAATAAAAGTACAACTTTTGGCTTACTAATATATGTGCATCAAAATTCCAAATTAGAAAATCATGAGATTAACCAACTCTGTTATTTACAGTTATATACTTTCCTGAGTGGTGTAAACAGTTCATTATAATGAAATGTGCAAATACATGGAGTAAGAAAAGCAAAAGGGAAACATACTCAGCACTTGTCAAGCTGCAAGGACTGGAAAAAAAAAAGTTAAGCCTCGAGTTGCAAAATGGAAGTATATGGGGAAAATATTGAAATATGTAGGAAGCATCAAAAGAAGATGGAATACACAATGTCACTGGACCAAAAAAGAATTGTCAACATTCAACTATTTCAGATGGTAGCATATGATCAAGAACCAATGGTACTGAAGAAAGAAGACCAAGCTGCACTGAAAGAACTGTCAAAAAACAAAGCTCCAAGAATTGGCAGAATACCAATAATTGAGTTGTTTCAACAAATGGATGCAATGCTGGAAACTTTCACTTTGCTATGCCAAGAAATTTGGAAGACAGATACTTGGCCAGCCAACTGGAAGAGATCCATATTTGTGTCCAATCCAAAGAAAAGTGATCCAACAGAATGTGGAAATTATTGAACAGTATCATTAATATCACATGCAAGTAAAATTTTGATGAAATAATTAAAAAGCAATTGCAGTAGTTCATCAACACAGAACTGCCAGAAATTTAAGCCTGATTGAGAGGAAAATGTGGAACAAGAGATATCATTGGTGATGTCAGATGTATCTGAAAGCAGAGAATACTAGAAAGATATTTATCTATGTTTTACTGACTATGCAAAAGCATTTGTGTGGTTCATAACAAATTAGGGATACCATTGTGAAGAATGGAAATTTCAGAACACTTAATTATGCTCATGCAGAACCTGTACATAAAGCAAGAAGCTGTCGTTCAAACAGAACAAGGGGATACTGCATGGTTTAAAATCAGGAAAGGTGTGCATCAAGGTTGTATCCTTTCACTACATTTATTCAATCTATATGTATAGGAAATAATCCAAGAACCTGGACTATATGAAGAAGAACACTGCATCTGGATTGGAACAAGACTTATTAACAATCTGCGATATGCAGATGACACAATCTTGCTTGCTGAAAGTGAAGATGACTGGAAGCACTTCCTGATGAAGATCAAAGACTAAAGCATTTAGAATGGATTATACTTCATCATAAAGAAAACAAAATTCTCACAACTGGACCAATAAGTAACATCATGATAAATGGAGAAAAGATTGAAGTTGTCAAGGATTTCATTTTACTTGGATCCACAGTCAATGCCCATGGAAGTCCAGAAATCAAACAAAGTATTTCATTGGGCAAATCTGCTGCAAAAGACCTCTTTAAAGTGTTTAAAAGCAAAGATGTCACTTTAAGGATTAAGGTGTTTCTAACCCAAAGCATAGTATTTTCAGTTGCTTCATATGCATGCAACCATGAATAAGGAAGACCAAAGAAGAATTGATGCCTTTGATTGTGTGTTGGCAAAGAATATTGAATATACCACGGACTTCCAGAAGAATGAACAAACCTGTCTTGGAAGAAGTACAGCCAGAATGCCCCTTAGAAGTGAGGATGGCAAGACTTTGTCTCATGTTCTTTAGTCATCGTCTCAGGAAGGACAATTCCATGGAAAAGGGTATGATGCTTGGTAAAGTAGAGGGTCAGAGAAAAAGAGGAAGACCCTCAATGAAGGTGACTGCAACAGTGGGCTCAAGGATAGCAACAATTTTGAGGATGGCATAAGACTGGGCAGTGTTTTGTACTGTTGTACATAGGGTCACTGTGAGTCAGAGCCAACGCAATGGCACCTAACAACAACAACTAAGGATGTTGAGGATAGTTTCATATGCTTGTTGGCCATTTGTATATCTTTTTTGGAGAAATGTCTGTCCAAGCCCTTTGTACATTTTTTAATTGGCTTGTTTGATTTTTTGATGTTGAGTTTGTTGAGTTATAGGAATATATATATATATATATATATATATATATATATATATATATACACACACACACACATGCAAACATATGTTGTTGTTGTTGGGTGCCATCAAGCCAGCTCTGACACCCTATGTACAACAAACGAAACACTGCCCAGTCCTGTGCCAGCCTCACAATCCTTGCTATACCTGAGTCCATCATTGTAGCCACTGTGTCAATCCATCTCATTGAGGGCCTTCCCCTCATTCATTGACCCTCCACTTTACCATGCATGATATCCTTCTCCAGGGAATGGTCCCTTCTCACAACATGAACAAAGTAGTTGAGACGAAGTCTGGCCATTCTTGCTTC